GAGAAACATCTCAGTCACATCTCTTTATTTTTAATTGCTTTGTAAACAGGTCCCCTTCTCAAGTTTTAAATACACCTTTCTTTTGAAGGACCTATTGTTTATGGTCACCAATTGCTTGAAAGTTCCCTGTGTCCCCTTGGTCTATGTCCCTAGAAATAGTCCTGGGGTCACTGAAAACTAGGATATTATAAAGCTCTCTTCCTAGGGTCAGGTCGATTGAAGGAAGACTCTCTAGGAGCTTAGGGGACATCACCAGGATGCTGTCCAGAGATGCAGCCTGTCCCCCTCACTAATTGTCACTTGCCCCTCTCACAACAGGACTTGGCCGGTACGAGTGTAGATGAATATTAACAGTGACCAAGTAGCAAAAGACCCCCAAATCACTATGGATAGAAAGAAAGGAAAACTAGGGATGGTTTTTAGAAAACCAAATGATTTAAAGTGCCAGCCAGTTAACGTTGGTCCACAGAACCTCTTAGAGATCGTTTGTCATCTTGAAGGACACAGAGGCCTTGTCTTCTCCTGAGCAGCAATCCCTTCACACAAGGGGTAGCTCAGCATTCTGTGTAAGTCAACATGGATACCCTCAGTCAGCTGACAGTGCACGCACCTATCAATGTCAGCTTCAAACCAGGAGCCCAGGGCTGCCAGACTAGCAGGAGGGAGAATCTGGGAAACCCTTACCTGAATGCAGTAACTCTCCTGATCCTTAGTGCAACTGCCAGGTTGAACCTTGCAGTCTGATGGCCTCGGTTCCCACTGTGGGGTCCACCAGCTTTATGAAACAAATTCTGCTTGTCCCCAGGGGCAAAATGGAAACCTGGTAGGCTCTTCTGAATCTCCTTAGTCTTAAGACTTCAGGGCCCAAACCACCTCCTTGTTTTAACTTGAATTGTCTTTCTTTTCTAATTGCAAACTAACACTTAATCCATTGCCCCACCAGGGATCCTAGAAATCAGCACAGAAGGGGTGCAAAAAGGCAGATGTGGATTTGAATTGATCATTTAAAAGTTATTTATTGGGGAGCTCTGGTGGCCTAGTGGCAAGAAGCTGCACTGCAATTCCAGAGGCGCATGGTTCGAATCCACCAGATGCTCTGCTGGGAAAGGGGGGACAATCTCCGGTACACAGACACAAAATAATAATAAAATAAAATTTTTTTAAAATGTTATTTATTAACACTTAAATACACTATTACAGGAGGTGTGAAAGCTGGAAATCTAAAAGGGGAAGGTTTTAGGTTCCACACTTTCCACTTGTTTGTCCATATAATCCTGCCCACTTGAATTTCCTGTGTTGAAGATACGTACAGTCTCTAAGGCCTTGTGTATACAGGCATTTATTGTAAACTAGTTTTTTAACTAGTTTTGGGTTTAGAACTAGTTTTTAAAGCTAGTGTACCATATGGATTGTCCATTGACCTAGGAAGAGAAAAGGAGGAACTGTTTTTTTGGTTAGCACTTAAACAAAATCACCATTGTTAATTTGGTTGAATTTAAAACAACTATGAGATATTATCTCACCCCCAATAACAATAGCAAAGTTCAACAGAGCAGCAAACAACAAATGCTGGTGAGGTTGTGGAGAAACTGGAACCCTTAATCACTGTTGGTGGGAGTGTAAAATGGTGCAACCACTGTGGAAGGCAGTATGGTACTTTCTCAAAAAGTTGCAAATAGAAATACCATTTAACCCAGCAATTCCACTACTGGGAATATACCCTAAAGAAAGCAGAACTGCCACCCAAGCAGATATATACACACACCCATGTTTATTGCTACTTTGTTCAAAATAGCAAAGAGTTGGAAATCAAGTGCCCATCAATAAACAAATGGATAGAGAAACTGTGGTATATTCACACAATGGAATGTTATGCAGCACCGAAAAACAAAGAACTCATGAAATATTATTCAAAATGGGTGACCCTGGAGGACATTATGCTGAGTAAAATATCTCAGTCACAAAAGGACAAATACTGCATAATGCCATTGTTATAAAACAGGACTGCCATGGGGGTTAGTGGGAAACTAAGAAAAGAGGGGACAAATAATGTACACAGCATTGAAACAGACAAGGAAGAGAACTATATAAAAGGACTATATGATTAGGTATTGTTGACATGACAAGAGTCCAGAGTAAGAAAGAGCTGCATAATAAAGTGGTGGGGGTGAGGGTGGGGAGGGGACTGTATAACAGTGAAAGAACTACTTTTTTTTTTTAAAAAAAAGCAAACTATGGGGGAGGTGGGGCAGGGAGGGAAATGTGTAACAATGAATGGAAATCCAAGTTCTTTATAAACTTTCATTAAAATATCAATTAAAAATAGTTTTTAAATTGGTTAAATTGCCTTCCATTGGGTTTCTGAGGCTGTAAATGTTTGTTGTTGCTGTTATTGTTAGGTGCCATTGAGTTGAGTACGACTCCTAGTGACCCTATGAATAAAAGATCTGAAACCAGTCCTGTCCTGCACCATTCTCACACTTAATGACACTCAGGAACCCATTGCAGCAATCACCTTGTCAGTCCACTTGGTTGAGGGTCTTCTTCTCCTTTGCCGACCCTCCAACCTTCCCAACATCATTTCCCTCTCCAAGGAATAGCACCTCCTATCAATATGTCCAAAGTATGTTAGGCGAAGAAGCCTCATCATTCTTGCCTCCAAAGAGTACTCTGGCTGCACCCTCTCCAAGGCATATATATTTGTTTCCTTGACCAGCCACTGAATGTTCAGTGCTCTTCTCCAACACCACAGCTCAAAAGTGTCAATTCTTTTTCTGTCATCCTTACTCATTGTCCAGGTCTCAGATGCATAGCTAGTAATCAGAAAGACAATGTCCTGAATCAGATGCACCTTAGTCCTCAAACTAACATCACTACTCCTTAATAATTTGGAAAGGTCCCTAAATGCATTGATTTTCTGAGTGCAATGCATCTCCTTATTTCCTACTGCTCATACCAAAAATGTTAATTATAGATCTAAACAAGATGAAGTTGGTGACATTTTCAGTCTCCTGTCCATCCATCATGACACTGCCTATTGGTCCAGTGGTAGGAATCTTTGTTTTCTTGATGTTGAGACATAATCCATACTGAAGGCTGCATTCCTTGATCTTCTGCAACAAGTGCTTCATATCCTCCTCACTTCCAGCCAACAAGGTTGTGTCATCTGTATAATGTAGGTTATTGATGAGTCTCCCTCTAATCCTTTGCCACACTCCTCTTCATAAAGTCTAGCTTTTTGGATAATTTTCTCAGCATCTAGATTGAACAGGTATGGAGACAGAATACGTCCCTGATGCACTCCCTTCCCAATTCCAAACCATGTAGTGCTCCCCAGCTCCATTCTTACAACAGCCTCCTGGTCCACTTTTATAAGTGGCGTAAATCGTTATGGGGCTATAAATTACCCATGTTTTCCCCATGGAACAACTGATAGATTTGAACCACTTACCCTTCACCTAATAGTACAACATTTAACACACTGTGTCACCAGACTTCCTTTCACCTAAATCTCATTTATTGCCCTCAAGTTGGTTCGAATTCATAGTTATCCTCCACTGGGTTTCCAAGACTGTAAATCCCACAAGAGGAGATTGTCCACATTTCTGATGCACAACACCTAGTTAATTCAAACCAGCAGAGCTCCCTTTCACCCAAATAGAAGATAGAAATTAAGCTTCACTTGGTCTTTCATTTGTAGGGGTGCTATGGGTTGTCTGTGACTCGATGGCACATAACAATAAAAACATAGAGCTAACTCTGTTGGCCTAGTGGGTAGAAAGTTGTGCTACCAAGCCAAAGGTGGGTAATTTTAATCTGCAGCCCTCAGGCCTGGTTTTAACTGTTTTGGGTAAAACATTCTTCTACGTGGTATAGCACTGGTCTGTCCATTTGCTGTACAGAGGTAACTCGTGGTTGCTGTGATGCTAAACACTGTGACACTGATGTGTCAGATGTGATAATGGTTACCCATAGTGGACAGTGTTTGGTGGAGCTTCCCAATTAAAACAAGTTTGGAAGCAGGAGTGACATCTACTTCCAAAATAGCTTGCCTCCGGAAACTCTTATGAACGTGGAGAAATGATGAAAGTTATATAAGTGTTCAGGTCTTTCATTCATAGGGTTGCTATGAGTCACCTACGACATGACGACACTTAACAACAACAACAAGAATTTGAATGTTGGAGCTTTGGTGACATAGTCTGTAATGTTAAACCGGAGTTTTCAGGAGTTCAAATCCACCAGGTTTTCCTCAGGGAAAAGCTGGGAGGTTTTCTCCTGTTGAGATTTACAGCCTTGGAGACCTGATGGAGGGTGGCTGTGGGTAAGACTTGACTGGACAGCAGTGAGTTTTGCATATTGAATGCTGGAGGCCCCGGGCGATCCAAACTGTTGATGCATTTAGCTGCTAACTGGAAACATGACTGAATTTACCCACAGGTTCTTCTAGAGAAAGGCTTGGCAATTTGATTCAGAATACTCAGCCACTTAAGACCTTTATGGCCACAATTGTGCTCTGGTACATATGAGCATCACTCTGCACAGTGGTGACTTATTTGTTAATGGTGACCCTTGAGACTGATTGCATGTTTGTGTCAGATGACCATAAGCACATTGGATTTCCAACTCTGAGAGTTCTTCAGCTCAGAGTGCCTTTCAGCTAACTTGTTAATCTGCTTTTAGCCATTTTTACCTTTAAAGTGTTCTAGTGTCCTAGTTATGTGTTGCGCTGCTAACCAAAAAGTCAGTGGTTTGATTCCACCAGCTGCTCCAAGCGAGGAAGATTTAGTTTCTTCCTGTAAAGATGTAAAGCCCTGGACACCTGCTGGAGGGTCACTATGAGTTGGAATCAGTTTGACAGCTGTGCATTTTGTTGTTTCTGTTGTAATTATTACTATTAGCTCTATTTCCATGTACCTGGTTGAGTGGGTGCTAGGTTATTTTGTCTGTAATGCATAAGCATCCTTTGGCCTCTCTCTGAAGCTGTCTTACTCTTGTAGGAATGCCCTGGCGGAAGGAACAGACCGAAGACCTTCAGCGAGTGCTCAAGAGCATTGATAGCGAGATTCCACTGGTCTTCGTCAGTGGCAATCACGACATCGGCAACATCCCCACAGCTGAGTCCGTCAAGGAGTTCTGCCAGACGTGGGGAGATGACTACTTCAGCTTCTGGGTTGGGGGCGTCCTGTTCCTGGTCCTCAACTCGCAGTTCTTCTACGATGCCTCCAGGTGCCCCACCCTGAAGCAGGCCCAGGACCAGTGGCTAGACGAGCAGCTGAGCATTGCTGGGCAGCGCCAATGCCAGCATGCTATTGTCTTCCAGCACATTCCGTTGTTTCTCCAGAGCATGGATGAAGAGGACGACTACTTCAACCTCACCAGGCTGGTGCGGCAGGAGGTGGCAGACAGGTTCACCAAAGCAGGTAGGAGGGACCACAGGGGTCTGGAGATGAGGTTTTCATTTATTTCTCCCAGAAAGATCTCTCTGGCTGTATGGATTGCACAGTACTGCTTAATGTTCAGAGCCTCAGTGTCTGCATCAGTGAAATGGGACTTTGAGTAGCTGTTCTCTCACTGGACAGTGGAGAGGAATTGACAGGAAACCTGTAGAGGATTCAGAGCAGGCCCTCAGAGAAGAGGAGGTGGGGTTCCAGCGCTGGGACTGGGGGTTGGGGTGGTCGTGAGGTGGTTTCATGACCCTCGGCAGAAGTGCAGATGCTGAAAGGGGACGAGGTTACATTCCTCTTATCTCCAGAAAGCAGGAACTTGCTCAAGGACAGATGATCTGTAAGAGTCAAACCCCACAGCAGTGTTAGTGAGGTGTGACCCTGGGGCCCTGGGAGGCAGCTGTAAAGGGCAGGGCTGGGCCTGGAAGTTGCCCTTTAATGGAGTGGGGGTCCTGGGCAGTGGCTTTACTGGGCAGAGCTGGACATGCTATTTGCTTTGAGTGAAGTGTGACCTGGGGGACCCTGGGAAGTGACTTTTTAAAAAAAAATTACTATTTTTTGTGTGTACCGTGAAATCGGATCTGGCTGGTACAGGAGGACCTTGCCCCTCCTTCTCCAGCAGAGCATCTGGTAGATTTGAACAGCACACCTCTGGGATTGCAGTGCAGCTCTTGCCACTAGGTCACCAAAGCTCCCTGGAAGTGACTTTAAGGGGCACAGCTGGGTCTTGCTGGTTTGCTTCTAAAGATATGAGCCCCTGAGGAATATTTTTAACAGGCAGGGTTGGGCCTCAGCCTTGTTTGCCTTGAGTGAGGTGGGTTGAGCTGTCTTCCACAATCAGGGGAGGGAGCAGCATGCTTAGTCCCATCTCACTTGGCTACATATTGTCAGCTAACCTAGCATTTAACACATGGCTCGTACACAGGTATGAAACAAGATGCCAGGGTCTGAGGTTAGCCCCAGTCCCAGTCCCCTCCTGCTCACGCTACAGCGCTCACCTCACAGCCAACATGCATCCTGAGCAGTTCTCTGCAGACCAGCAACTCGACAGGATTCCAGTGTTGACAGCTGCTGTGTCTCTTATTTTGATCTTATTTTCTCTTTTCAAATCTCTCCAGAGTATACTTTATCTTCTCCTCAAATTTAAATATATTCATGCATTTGGTATGGGGTGGGGAGAGAGAAATTCCTTGACCCCATTAGGAAGCATTCATTTTAAAAAAATAAATAAATAAAGCAGCCACCAATTCTTGTTTGCACATTAAATGTGTTTAGCATTTCCTTGTGTGAAGCGCAATATAGCCTTCTGTATTTTAGAGACCTTTTACAAAAAGCTTGCATAATTGGAAACATTTTCCAACTGTTCCATGGAGATGAAGTTGAGAAACTTCTATTAAGGCCTTTGAAATTTTATGTCATGCCTGGGTCGGTGCAGAGAGTTGTTGTGATGACAAGGAAATGAGGTGTCGGGAAGGCACCAGCACCTGGCGGAGACGGCTTTGTGGCAGAGAATAATGCTGGAGAGCGAGAGTCAGGGCCGCTAAATGAATCCTCCTGCACCCAGGGTGCAGCAGCGCACACACACCATCCTCGTGACTGCTCCCCACATGCATAAATCAGTCGGTGGTGGCCCAAAGTTCTGTGCTTCTCGTCATAAAAACAACAACAACAAAAAAAAACCCACAAAAACAAAAAAAACATGAGCTCCAACTCATGGAGCCCACATGTGTGTCCGAGTCGAACTGTCCTCTTCTCTAGGGTTCTTTCTCAGCAGCTGATTTCTCAGAAATAGATCACCAGGCCTTTCCTCTGAGGCACCTCTGAACAGACTTGAACCTGCAGCTTCTTGGTTCGCAGCTAAGCATGTTAACTGAATTACCAAAGGACTCTCCATCATAGGATGGAGCAAATGCTGCCCACAAGCTTTCCAGATATTGAGAGGTGAGAGAAGACTCCTCTTGGGAGAAGCCTGCTACCCACAAGCAAGAATCCCAGAATATGACATTGTTTTGGGTGCAGAGGTCAGCTCCCCAGTCAGACCCGCAGCCCAGCACCTCAGAAGCCAGATTTGCCAGTATACACGGAGCTTGTCTGTATCCCTGAGGTGAATGCGGATGATCACAGTTCCCACATCCAGAATGTCACTTGATTCATTGAGAGTGAGACTAAGCCATTCCCATCAACACCAGCAATGGAGTCTTTTCCCGGAGACAGAGCCACATGGGAAGCCAAATTATAATCAGAAGGTTGCTTGGTGAGCAGGCAACAGAGCAGAGCAGTTCGGCTTATTATTTCACTCCTAATGGCATCAGACTCTGGAATGCTGTTGAGTTGAGTCTGTTTTGCTCAGTAGGACTCTAATCTCAAGTCCCTTTAATTCTGCTTCCCCCCACCCCTAGTTGTCATTTAGGTGAAAGCTTACAGAGCAAATCAACCATTTTCTGTTGAGTAATTTGTATGCATTTTGTTTCACAACTCAGTGTAGCAGTCTACTTCCTGCTGTCTCTGTGGTTTCCTTGCCTCTATTCCACCTTATTTCCTGTCCCTTCTCCTTCTGAGCCTGGTGATCCACTTCTGGTTATCCTTGGACAAATGCTGCCCTTTCGTTGTAAATGAGATCATTCCTCCTGGATGTTATTATTCACTCTGTCTTGTTAAGTTGTTGTGTGCATCAAGTCAGAACCGGCCCACAGCTGACCCTCCAGTGGATTTTCAGAAGCTGTAAATCTCCTAGGAGGAGATTGCCCATCTTTCTCCCATAGAGCAGCTGGTAAATTTGAACTGCATGCCTTTGGGTTGGCAGCACAACTCCTTACTCCTGGGCCACCAGAGAGCTCCCTACTCATCCTATAGATCTGCCTATTATTTGGCTGAAAGTTGATCCCCAGAGATGGGTTCAGTTCCAGGTGTGAAGGCTGTCATAATCTCATAAGTCCCTCCAGTCTCTAGCACACTGGTTCTGATCTCTTAGGATTTGTACATGATTTCTACATGACTTTGCTCCCTCTCTGTCCAGAACCTTCTACTGTGATCCTGATCAGAGCAGTCAGTAGTAGAAACCAGGTACCATCTAGTTCTTCCAGTCTCAGTAAGTGGACGCTGTGGTTTGCATGGTCCACTAACCCTTTGGACTAAATGTTTCCTTGAATATTTTCTTTTTTTCACTAGTATTTGTTCTGAACAAGGAGACACCAATTAATTGTTGCATCTTAGATGGTTTCTTGCAGTCTCTTGCAAGATTCCAGTATTTGTTCTGAACAAGGAGACACCAATTAATTGTTGCATCTTAGATGGTTTCTTGCAGTCTCTTGCAAGATTCCAGTCACTACCACCAGAGTAATTCTATATATATATATTTTTATATTCTATATTTTTTAAATTGTTCCATGTGGAGAAGTGGTGGTTCTGTGGTAGAATTCTCACCTTGCATGAGGGAGACCTAGATTCACTGCCTGGCCAGTCTGCCTTATGTGCAGCCACCAGCTGTATATGACTGAAGCTTGCATGTTGCTACGATGCCTACCAGGTACAGCAGAGCTTCTAAAACGAAGACAAATGAGGAAGAAAAGCCTGGTCATCTACTTCTGACAATCAGCCACCAGTCGGCTCTATGGATCACAGCAGTCCAGGTCACAACTGATCGTAGAGATGGCATAGAACTGGGCAGAGAGAGTTCCATTCCTTCTGACATAGAGTCACCATGAGTCAGCGCCTGATTTGACAGCAACTAACAACAGTCTTGCTCCAGCCTGTCCACTTCATTAGGCTGCCATTATCCTTTCTTCTCTGGGTCTTAGCAACACCCTCAACCTGCTCGCCCTGTGTCCACTCTTGCCTCATTCAGGGCTCTTCTCCACCTGGCAGCAGGTGGGGCATGTTACTCAAAGCCACAGTCTTTTGAGGCCTCATCACCCAGAAGGCCTGGCTCCCAACCATGGAGCCCATCTTGCTCTCCGCCTTTGCTGCAGCCCCCTCTCTCTCAGCACTCCTTCCACCTGGTCATTGTCTATTCGCCCTCACCACCAAGGAGCTCTGAGGACACGTCTGGGCTGGTTCCTACAGAAAGTGCCAAACTGCATTGCCAGTGTTTCTGCATCTGACCCCTCCACTAAAATATCGGCTTCTGAAGGGCAGAGTCCATGGTCTGCCATCCAGGAGACACGGCTCAGATTTTAGCTCTTAACACATGCTTCGTCAGGGTTTGTGAAATAAAAGACAGAGCACAATGAATTCAGGTCCTTCCTATATCGGCTGACAGACAGCTCACTTATTAAGCACCCACTGTATGCCAGGCAAAGGAGCATTGCTGGCTTAGTACATAACAAATCTGACAGCTGAAAGGTTGGTCGTTTGACTTTTCTAGCTTCTCTGAGGGAGAAAGATGAGCAGTCTCCTCTTGTAGAGATTTACAGCCTCAGAAACCCCATGGAGGAGTTGGTTCCTGCTAAGGCGGTAAATCTGGGGTTAGGCATGCTGGCACATGGCAGACCAGTCAACATGCTAATGGCACTAGCAAGTGCAGCCCCTCAAGCTCAAGGACTTTAAGCTCTTTGGTATCCTCTGAAGGACCCTTAAGGTCTTTGGTACCCTTTGCTCTGACCCAGATGCTGCCCTTCCAAGTTTACCCATAGAACAGTCCATTTCCATCTTACACCTTTGACCACTGGCCTTGGGATCGGCACCTAAACCTGCTTAAGAGGGAAAACCAGAGGTGGGTGCCCTTTCTGTGATTACCTGTCAGTTTGGGTGACTTGCTTAACCAGGCCCCTTTTTTAGTGGCCTTTCAAACACAGAACAAGTCGCGGGCAGTGCCAAGAGAAGACCCAAGTCAGTTGTCGACAGCCCTGGCAGAGGCAGAACTAACTGTTTAGTTAGTATAGTTGGGGAGCTTTTTGGAGGGTGACAGTCACAGACACCAAGACCCAGGAATGCAGACAATCATTCAGATAGCAACAACATCATTCGAACCCATTGTG